TGCATGGTGCATGTTACATATTCAGCTACATGTCTATTGTCACATTTTAAAATACGGTAGAGTATATTTAATATTGTTTACATGTGGCACAAAGCCAGGCATAACTAACCTTCAAACTAGAATAATGGGTCCTCTTGTTGGGATGGGTCTATGAACCAGATGGAGTTATAAGGGGGAAATTCTAGGCTGCTAGTGATGTTCTATTTGGTTATCTGGTTCTTAACTGCACCTGTGTGTTGTGTCTGTCCAAACTCAACAAGCTATACATTTGTGTGTGATTTTCTATGTATATATTATACAGTATGTATGTATTATATAGTATATATATAGGATTTAGTTAAAATAAGTACATTAAGTAATAAGTAGATTTTTTGGCCTGTTATATTAGTTTATTAAATTAGATATTGTCAAAATTCTGGGTTAAAGTATGCAACAAATCAAAACCAAAATATGTCTTTGAGGCTTCTTTCAGACCAAAATCTTTGCCTTTCTTTGGAGACGATCATTCCATCCTCAGCACTTCATGAATGTTAAACTAATGGTGCCACCTCCTGGCTTTTTTATAGGCTCTCAACAGCAGCCTCCTCATTTAAGTAATTTTCAGCCTCTGGCTGTTTGTCTCTGCCTTTCCTTTAGTAAAAATAGCTAAGCCCTTCAAGTGATCATGTTGTTTTAAACATGCATCAGCCTATTTTTAGTTCTGGCATTTAAGGTTTTAACTAGTTGGCAGTAATCTAATCAGGAGCATGGGATGAAGCTCACTTTTGATGGTCTGAGACTATGTTCAGTACGCTCCTTGTTTATTAATAACTGGTGCTGTGCTGATTAGGGATTAATTGGTGGAACTGAACCAAAAGATAAAGGAGGTGATGTGACTAAGTAGAGGTCTATTGGTGATAGCCAGTTAGAAGACACAAAAATGGCTAGTCCAAGGTTTCTTAATATATGGTCCTCCTATCACCTGCACGTGAGTATTAACCAACTTGGGATGCCATATCCCTAGGGAAATGGCACAGGAATATGCATTTTGAGAGACTCTTGGTTTGAAAAAAGATTTACTTATTTGAAAGTCAAGGTTAAAGACAGGGAAAGACACACAAGCACACTCACACACACACTCACTCACTCACTCAGATTATCTGTCTATCTATGTTCCATCTGCTGGTTCATTCCCAATATGGATGCAGTGGGTCAGGCTTGGGCCAGGCAAAATACAGAAGCCAGGATCTTCATTTGGTTCTTCTGTGTAAATGACAGGTGCCCAAACATATCAGCCATCTTCCCCTTATTTTATAGGCACATTGGCAGGGAGCTGGATTGGAAGTAGAACAGCCAATACTAGAATTGGTACTTTGATACAGACTGCCTGCACTGCAAGTGGCAGCTCAACCCTCTGTGTAATAAAACCACCCCTAGCTTGAGTACTATATTTTAAAAAGATTTTATTTTATTTTTATTTGAAAAGGAGGTATACAGAGAGAAAAGGAGAGACAGAGAAATTTTCTGTCCACTGGTTTACTCCCAAATGGCTGCAACACCTGGAGCTGAGCTGATCTGAAGCCAGGAGCCAGGGGCTTTTTCCAGGTCTCCCACATAGATGCAGGGCTGCAAGGGCTTGAGCCATCCTCTGCTGCTTTCCCAGGCCAAAAGCACGGAGCTGGGTTGAAAATGGTGCAACCAGGGTAAGAACTGTGCCTGTATGGGATGCCAGCGCCATAGGTGGAGGATTAGCTTGCTGCACTATTGTGCCAGTCCCATTTTGAGTAACTTAAAGTTATTCTGACAAATAACCAAAATTTTAAAACCATGTACTTACCTAGTCTTTTTGCTGATCTTACAGTTGACTAAAAGGGCCTTGCCGGATCAATAACTTGGCCAAATTCACCCTTGACTGATTATTAGCACAACCAGAACCAGAACAAGTCATTGAAGGAAGCTGGAGAGGAGGCTTTATTTTAAAGTTTGCCTTGAGATGTCATAGAAGATTTTCAATTGAATATTATCTTTCAGGAAATTAGACAAAATGTGTAGCTATCTCACAGTAAAAATCATAAGACTTTTATTTTAGGCTTCAGAGGAAATTATAAATTCTGTGTTATAAATGTGTGTCTCAAACTGTTATTAGAATAACAACATACAGGTGAAGCATATGAGAGCTGGTAGTAGAAATGACTTGAGAGTAGGACAGCCCAAAACTTATCATAAATTTATCACATAAGCAAATTTCTTGAATATTCTGAATTTTGTCCTTCTGTCTATAAAACTGATGAAATGGTATTTCACACCACAAAGAACCATTGTAAGGATTAGATATAAAGTGTGTAAAGTATCCAACATGTAAAAATCATTCATTATATAGTAATTACTTCTTCTATAGGTTAGGTGAATTCTTCAATTCTAGCCTATTTCTCATTTTGAAAACTATTTCAAAACTATTCAAAAGTATTTTGCAACTATTATTATTTTTTTTAAAGATTTATTTTTATTATTTTTTTATTGGAAAGGCGGATATACAGAGAGGAGAGACAGAGAGGAAGATCTTCCGTCCGATGATTTACTCCCCAAGTGAGCACAACGGCCGATGCTATGTCGATCTGAAGCCAGGAACCTCTTCCAGGTCTCGCACACAGGTGCAGGGTCCCAAAGCTTTGGGCCGTCCTCGACTGCCTTCCCGGGCCACAGGCAGGGAGCTGGAAGGGAAGCGGGGCTGCTGGGATTAGAACCGGTGCCCATATGGGATCCCGGACGTACAAGGTGAGGACCTTAACCACTGTGCCACCGCACCGGGCCCAACTATTATTATTTATAAAAAGTAAAAATATTGGGCCTGGTGCCAGAGCCTAGCGGCTAAAGTCCTCGCCTTGCACTCACTGGGATCCCATATGGGTGCCAGTTCTAATCCCAGCAGCCCCACTTCCCTTCCAGCTCCCTGCTTGTGGCCTGGGAAAGCAGTCGAGGAAAGCACAAAGCCTTGGGACCCTGCATCCACATGGGAGACCTGGAAGAGGTTCCAGGCTCCTGGTTTTGGACTGGCTCAGCACCAGCCTGTTGCAGTTGCTTGTGGAGTGAATCAATGGATGGAAGATCTTCCTCTCTGTCTCTCTTCCTCTCTGTATATAGAACTTTCCAATAAAAATAAAATAAAAACATTTTTAAAAGTGAAAGCATTAAATAGACGTGTCTTTATAGCAAGTTTGATTACACCGTCTCACGTAAAGACTTATTTGGGAGCTGGCATGTGGCGTATCAGGTGAAGCTGCAGCCTGAGACACCAGTACCCTGTATGGGAGCTGGTTCGTGTCCTGACTGCTCCTCTTCTGATACAGCTCCCTGATAATTGCCTGAGAAAAGCAACAGAGGATGACCCTAGTCCGTGGGCCTCTGCCACCCTGTGTGAAAGGACTGGAAAAAGCTCCAGGCTCCTGGCTTAAGCCTGGCCCAGCTGGTGGAAAAATTCTCTCTCTCTCTCTTTCTCTCATCTCTATCTCTCTTGACTCTTCCAAATAAATAGATATTATTTTAAAAAGAATATATTTAGGTAAGTGTGTTATGGTCTTTGACACAGATAAATTTAGTACAAATACAGGGATGAAATATGCCAGGCAGTTCTTTAAGGGAAAAAAAATAAATCAAAATAGTTTGAGGTCATGGAGTCCTTTTAAGCCAGTTGTTTTGGTGTCATGTGGCTACTACATGAAAAGAAGTTCTATAGTTGGCTGGTTCACTCATTCAACAAACATTTAATGGGTCTAGATATTAAATGTGAGAAGCAGTCCCTGGTGGTATTGAAATGAAGATGTTGTTTTCATAGAGTTAGAGTCTCTCGCAGCAGTCAGGTATTTAAAACTAATTGTGAATGAGGCTTTTCTTTTTGTCTTTTTGAGTGCTACCCCTGAGATGCTGCCTAGAAGGCACCGTTTCCACCATTACCTTGGTTTTTTTCCTTCAATACACATGGAACCTTTTCCTGCCACCATGACTGGAGACCCTTTTCCCCTTTTTTCTTAAGTAAATCTTGCTTTGCAAACTAGGGGTGAAAATCAAATGAGATACATGTACTTTAATAGAAGTACACGTGGGATCCTGTTTATGGACGCACAGAGAATGCGGGAAATTCTGTGGGAGGTATGAAGTAGGACCAGGGCCCGGCACAGTAGCCTGTAGCTAAAGTCCTTGACTTGCACACACTGGGCTCCCATATGCATGCTGGTTTGAGTTCCGGCAGCCCTGCTTCCCATCCAGCTCTCTGCATGTAACCTGGGAAAGCAGTCAAAGATGACTCAAAGCCTTGGGACCCAGTACCCATGTGAGAGACCCAGAAAAAACTCCAGGCTCCTGACTTTGGATTGGCTTAGCTCCAGCCATTGTGACCGCTTGGGGAGTGAACCAGTGGACAGATCTTCCTCTCTCCTCCTCTCTGTGTACCTGACTTCCCAATAAAAATAAATAAATCTTAGAAAAAAAATAGGACAAGGGCAGAGGTGGCTGCATTCTAATTGTCCTGGTACGTGATATGGGGAGAAATGCCCTGGAACCCTGCAATTGGGAGGAACCTGGGTTCCACTGTGACAACGTGTAGCAGCATGTGCAGGAGCTGAGCGGAAGAGCCTGAGGGGCTTTGGCCTGGGGAGTGGCCAAGGAGGACTAGCACAGAGCTGCACAGTCGGTTTGACTTCTGTGCATGCACAAGGCTGGTTCGGGGCCCTGTAATTACAGACAATGATTGTCAGATTTTCCACAAGAAATGTTCTTAAATAGATCTCCTTGTGTTTCAGAGGAGAACTGACCTCAGCATGGCCAGGTAGGGGCAGGCCAGCTGTTTTATCTCTGTCTCTTTTTAAAAATTGCCTCCGTATTCCTTTCCAAAGGCTTGACTGAATGAGGAACTAGAGTGGCCAGGGCACCAAGAACTCTGTCCCCTGAAGAGATGGGTTTTAGTAACTGTTGCTTAATACCACCTTGTATATGCATTAATCCATTGTTGTTTTTTTCCCCTCCAGATATTATAATAAAAGCAAATAAGAAGACATAATAGCTGTGGCTGAATTTTCACTTCTTTGAAGATATGAATGTGAAGTTAAAGTCTATAAAGCAACATGTCTGCCTGAGATTATATAAAATTAAAATTCAGAACTCTCCAGCTATTTGTAATACATGTACATAATGAGTTTCTATTGAGGTTCTTTCCACTTTTAATGGATTAAGAATGAAAATATTTTTCATATGCTCCTTAAGTGTGTGCATTTGTGTTATTATATAGGAACCAAAGAGTGGTTACTAGAAGGCTATGTACTAAGATGGATGGTTTTACTATTTATAAAGAGCCAGCACAAGGTAGCTGTGTAATTTCCTTTGATTTGTTTTTCTCTCAGAGTTTACTCTTTGTATGGATTCGTTGTTGAAGTGCTAAAAATGAAGGTGCTTATATTACAGGCTATTTTTAACAGAACTTAATTGAAACCACATGAGTGAGAGACCTAATTCCAGGTCTGACTGAAAGAAACTCTATACTCAAGACCTGCTGAAGCAGGGAATGTATGATATGCACAATCAATCATACACCAGGTATTTAATATATTACTTCATGCCCAGACAACCTTGTTTTTGCTAACAGTATTTGCAAGTTATTGTTATTATTATTGTTGTTATTATTGTAATATAGCTTGTGCCAACCTGCCTGTCCCCTTCCTGGAGAGCAGTGGTACTGCTGTCAGTGAACAGATGGTCATTACACAACTGTTGGCAAAATCTGAAGTCGGAGAATTCTACTGTAATCACACAGAACAGTAAAAAAAAGAGCCAAATTTCAAAGCTGCTTTCCTTCTTACAAAAATTGTAAAATCTTTAAGTTGAGGTTATGTAACTTAAAAAGTATTCATTTTAAGCAGGAACTTTAATGAGATCTCTTTTTATAAATCATGTGACAAGACCTTAAGCCACTAACAGTGCTATTTATGATTCTGTGTTGTATCTGGAGGCGAAACATGAAAAAGGCCTCAGGAAATACAGAGGAGAACCTGGATGATACAGGCAAAGTCAACATTTAGACCTGGAGTCTAAATCAGCACGCTTGTGGTGGTTTGTACAGAGCGAGAGGCAGAGAGGTCTCCATCTGCTAGTTTGCTCCCCAATGGCTACAACAGCTAATAAGTCAGGACACGGGGCTTCTTCCAGGTCTCCCACATGGGTGCAGGGACGCAAGGACCATCTTCCCTTGTTTTCCTCTGCCTATATAATGCTGGTGTCACAGGTGGTGACTTAATCCGCCTTACCACAGTGCCAGTCCCTTGTGGTCGTTTGGAAAGCTGGAAATATGGTAAGCTTCCAAGGATTGAGAGGAGAAATACAAAACCCTTTCCTGCCTTCAAGGAGCTTGTCGTCCATTGCAGAGGGGAGAAAATGAAAATGAATGATTTGACAGTGCTTAATCAGATGGTAGTTTCCTAGGGTTAGAGGAAATAAATATTTGATGGTTTCAATATTTCAGGTAAGGCAAATTAGTGAACTGAGAGAGCTAACTACTTGACCAGATGATGTTATTTAGCAAGCGATGAAGTCATCATTTGAAGGCAGTGTCCAGTGTTCTGGGCACAAGAACTCGGGGAAAGGTCAGAGGGAGAGAGAAGTGGAGGTTGGCATTCAGATCTTAGGAGCAGAAGACATAATTTCGCTTGTGATTAAGATGAAGAATAGAGGTAGCCTGCTGGCTGGTGGACATAAGAAGGCTTCGGAGAATTCCTCTAGGCAGATCCCAGAAGGCTGTGTTCTTAGCCTTTTATCTGTGGGCAGACCTTACAAATCTTTGGTGAATCTCCGTGAAACAGCACGAATAAAATTGAGTTCATCTGGCCCTGCTGCGATGGCTCAGTGGCTAAATCCTTACCTTGCACATGTCAGGATCCCAGTTCATGTCAGGCATCCCAGGGTGCCAGTTCATGTCCTGGATGGTCTACTTCCTGTCCAGCTCCTTTCTTATGACCTGGGAAAACACTGGATGATGGCTTAAAACCTTGGGACCCTGCACCTGTGTGGGAGATTCAGAAGGAAGAAACTTCTGTCTCCTGGCTTCAGATCAGCTCAGCCCTGGCCACTGCAGCCACTTGAAGAGTGGGTGAACCAGCAGATGGAAGACAGTTCTGTCAATCTGCCTGTCCAATAAGAATAAATAAATCTTTAAAAATAATTGAGTTTATCATTGTTTGGCGAGAGAGAGTCTCCATAATTTTTGTCACATTTTCAAAGTGGTTTGTGATCTGAGAAGGGTAAAGAATGGAACTGAACTCCTTTAATATTTAATTAATTATAGTGCATTTTTTGAATGAAAAGTTTTTAAATAATTTGTTATTGGCAAGAAAGAGAGAAAGAATTTCCCATGCACTGACCCATTATCCAAATGTCTGTAACATCCAGGGATGGGCCAGACCAAAGACAGGAGCCAGAGACCCGACTCAGGGCCCCCATCATGGATGGCAGGGACTCAAACACGTGAACCACCTGCTGCTTTCTCTCAGGGTCCACATGAGCTAAACCTCGACTTGGGAGCAGAGCCAGGACTCCAACCTAAGTACTGTCTTGTGGGATGTGAGCATCCCAACTGGTGTCATAGCCATTATTCCAAATATTCACTCCTACATTTATATTTGTAAGAGGGCAAGATGGATTCTGTATGTGTGTATGCATTTAGAGATCTTTCACCTTCTGGTTCAGTATCTACAATAGCTGGAACTGTGCTAGGGATGGAACGAGGACCTCAATGCAGATTGTTCATGCAGTTGGCAGGAACTCAATTACCTGAGCCTTCTCTGGTGGTTCCCAGGGTCGGTCTTGGCAGAAAGCTGGAATCAGGAGCCAAAGATGGACGCTAAACCCAGCCCAATATGGAATACAGGTGTCCTAACTGTTAGGGCAGTGCCCACTCTCTTTATTTCATATTTGGTCATTAAAAATTACATTTTTAAAAGATTTATTTTTATTGGAAAGTCAGATATATACAGAGAGAAAGACAGACAGATAGGAAGATCTTCCCTCTGCTGATTGAATCCCCAAGCAGCCACAGTGGGGAGAGCTGAGCCAATCTCAACAGAAGCCAGGAGCCTCTTCCAGGTCTCCCACACGGGTGCAGGGTCTCAAGGCTTTGGGCCATCTTCCACTGCTTTCCCAAGCCACAAGCAGGGAGCTGGATCGGAAGTGGGGCTGCTGGGATTAGAACTGGCACCCATACAGGATCATGGCATGTACAAGACAAGGACTTTAGTTGCTAGGCTACCATGCTGGGGCCTAAAAATTACATTTTTAAGTCATACCTCAGAAAATCCTCATGCCATTAAATACCAAATAACCTGTTAAAAATGCACAAAAGGTGTGATAGAATTTCCATGTAAACATTTTAAACTGGAGTGTTTTTTCTCCATCTCACCAAATTGTAATTCAACGTGGCTTATTCTGTTCTGATTCATCTCATACTGTGCACATAGCATATGTGTTTAGTTGTTTTTATTATTTTCCATGATAAACGTTCTTATGTGTAGGGATTCCCCGATTCTCTCCCCTTTCTCCCTAAAATGGTCCTGCTAGAGTTTTTCTTAAAGTAGTGAAACACAGACCTTTCCTCTTGAATTTTTCCCTGAAAGAATACACTGTAGGGGCTGGCACTGTGTTGCCACAAGTTAAATCAGTGCTTGCTTGCTTGCAGTGCTGGCATCCCAAGCTGTTCCACTTCTGATCTAGCTCTCTGCTAACACACCCGGGGAAGCAGTGGCAAATGGCCCATGTCCTTAGGCACCTGCTACCCACATGGGAGATCCAGATGGAACTCTAGGTTTTTGGCCTCAGCCTGGCTGAGCCCTGGCTGTTATAGCCATCTCTTTCTTCGATCTCTTTCTAGCTCTGCCATTCAATTGAATGAATATTTTTATTTTTTGAAAGGATATATTAGAAGTCAGTGAAGCTATCTTATGTCCACAGTTGGAGGACCTGGCAAAGATGGGTGGAGTTCATACAAAGAAATTGGAGATGGAATAAAAAAGTTGGCTTTTTGATATTTTTGTTGTAGTCTCTATGCCTGAATATTTCATCTACTTTAGATCCACTATCAGAACTAAACAATTTAATTTGCTTATGTTGTTTACTTTAGGTTTTCTATCATCCACAATATAGAACATCCTGACTGATGAATTAAAACAAGAACCTTCTTGAACTGCCCATATCAAAGCATTTAACACAATGTAGCATAGTTCTCAAATTCCATCTTTTTCCTTCCTAGACTCTAAGCTCTTCAAATGCAGAAACCATGTCACTCCTTATCATATGTCCAGGTTTTAGCATAGCTGCCAGACACATACAGAAACATTAAGTGTTTGGAGGGTATCTGTTGACAGACTGTGTCTCCCAAGTGTGCATTAAATTAAGGGCCATATTTAGATACTTCTAGTAGAACTTAAGGAGAAAATTCCCAGTTTATTTCATGTTTAAGGTAAAAGTTCAATTCCTTAAAATAATTAATGACACTCTGCAATAATTTGCTTGTTACTTGTTGGTTTCTTACAGGCCAGGAGACTTCAGTCTCACCGATATTATTCTTTGCCTCTGGAAAAGAGTAGATGCTCAAGTTTATCCTATAGAATTCGCTAGTGTCTCCCATCTTAAAGGATATTTATTTCCTTTCTCCTTTGTCTTCTGTGTCCCCCCAGCTCAGCAGAGACTCCTGGCCATTCGCACTTCACCACTGTTCCTGCCCCTTCTTGAACCTGTCCCAGTCAGACTTTTGTTCACAGTTCTCCACTGAAGTCGCTTTCGCCAAGATGTCCCTGTGAACATATCTAAGGAACATTTACATTTTTAGCAACATTCAATGCCCATTACTCATTTAGGGCCAGATGGCTTCCCTTTGAAAATATTTAAAATTAGTACAGCTCTGTCATTAGTGCAGAGTCTGTGATTTTAATGTCATGTTGCCATATAAGTGGTAGTGAATACACTTAAATTTTTTTCTCTACCTTTCAAGTATAAGTGAGTTTACAGAAATGAAGCTATTAGATGCTTAGAGAATACTGAAAGTATCTCTTACGCAAGCAGTACGTTCTTTCCTTACTATTAATATCTATAATTACCCGTGAAGTCATTTTTCCCAAGAAGAAAGCACACAAGGTTATTGTATTTGGAAACTTCTTTCTGAGGGGACCCAGAACTACTAGGTCTCAGCCACAAATAAGCATTAACCCATAGTACCTTTTGTCCTATAGGCAGGCTTGAGCTGTTTCCACTCATTTAGTGTAACTTGCTAATGTAAAAATAAAACTTCCCCAAAAGACTGACTCATCAGCTGACTGAAAGGATGCATACTTTTTTTCACACTTAGAAAAAGCAACAACACTGACCTTTGGTTTATTAAAACTTCATTCCACATCCAGATACCTTGAGGAAAAATATTTGTGCGCATAAATAGCTCATTTTCCTCTATCAGAAATCTGGCATTTGGTTTCAGAGTCCAGAGAATTAGCTGGAACTGCAAGTGACATAGTACTGCTACTTTGAGTCTGAATTAGTCAGTGACTTCTGGAGCTTACACAGTGTAGAGAGGAACTTTTGATGAATTTTTACTTCAAGTCTTTGCTGAAGTACTTCTCTCACTCTCATTTCTTGCTTCTTAGCTTCCTCACCTGCAATTGCTTTATTTACTCCTTATTATTTTTTTTTAATGCTTTGGGTCCCGAATGCTAGAACTGAAATGTTTGAATACTTGAACTTCTTAGCCATCTATAACAGTGATTATAAAAAATATCCAAACTGAACACGATGTCCACTGCCAAATGCTAGTAAAAATCCTGCCTCCTTTTCTTTCTCCCATGTTAGTATCATTCATGTACATATTCTAGCTGCAAATCAGAGTTGGTATTCATTTAAATGTTCTGTGCTGAAGTAAATCCTCAAGCAAGCATTGTACATCTAGACGTCCAACCATACATCACTCATTTCCCTTCCTCATCCCCAAACATGAAGATAGGCCTTATAAAAATTCTCAACAGGTAGCATTAAGGGGTAAGCTATTTGGTTGTGTGTTCCCTTTCTAGGTTTCCAGTCTTTGTTGGGTTTCACTTCTGATTTTATAGGTTACCAAGGAAACTGTATTTTACTTCTGAATGGAAACCACCAGCTCTTTAAACAAACTAAAAGGTGGCCGAGGGTCATCTTTGCGGAGAGCCGGTGTTGAGGCGGAGGTCTTGGCATGCGGACCCCGGGAACCGGACGCTGAGCGGTCCAACTTGGAGCCCACAGCAGTCGCGGCCGGGGATTCGCAGTGCCGCAGTGATCGCGGCCCGACCTGGCGCGGGGCGGAGGGGCAGGAGCCCCAGAAGTCGGGGCGGGGCCGGAGGGGTGAGTCTGCGGCCCGTGGTACCCTAAACACCTTTCTCGGTCGTGGACGTGCTGAGCTGCAGCCTTCTGCATCCCACACAGCCCTCGGTGCCGGCGCCCCGCGCCCCCGCCGACGTCAGAGCCGCCGACAGCCTCCCGGGGTTAGCACAGCGACCTGTGCGCGCAGCCCTCGCCAGCCCCGGCCATCTTCTCCCCTCACGCCCCGCCCCGTGATCTGCCACGTGACAGAGTCCCGCGGCCAGCCTATGGGCGCCAGCTCCGCCCCACACCCCCGCCTTGCCCCCTGCTCCGCACGCCGCCACGTGATGCGGCTCCCCGCCAGCCAATGAGCGCCGGGCCTGCCTCGCGCCCCGCCCCGCGCGCCGTGGCCGTTTGAAGTGACTAATTTCTGTCATATGACTGAGGCGCCCATGGGGGTGGCGAGGCGGCTGTAGGAGAGGGGGGCCTAGCGAGCGCCCGGCGGAGCGACCCCGGCCTGGCCGTGGCAAGCATGGCCCCTACCTTGTTCCAGAAGCTCTTCAGCAAGAGGAGCGGGCTGGGCGCGTCGGGCCGAGACTCCCGGGACCCGGATTGCGCGTTCAGGTAGGGCGCTTCGAGGCGGGGGGCGGCGAAACCGATAGCCTTGTGGACTGTGGGGCCCCTGAGATGGTGGGGGCCGTGGGGTGGAAGCCCTTGCGGCCGAGGCTCGCGGTGGGGTGGGGCCGGTACGGACTTGGCGCTGGGAGGGTCGGAGCCAAGTCTTCTCCACCGCCCGCCCTCCCCTTCCCTTCGCCACCGCCCCGCCGTCGCCCCTTCCCCCTCCTCGGGTCGGTTTGTTTACGTCCTGCCCGCGGCCACGCGTGGCTGTGCCCCTCCGGCCTTGGCATCGCGGCCCGAAGTCGTCGGGTCCCACACGCCTTCCTGGCAGCGAGCAGGGCGCGGGCTGGTTTGGACCTCCGCCGCGATCCTCCCGGCCCACAAGTTGTCCCCTCCTCCCCGTGACCAGTCACCCTCCGGGGCGCTCCATTCCAGCTCGGCTGGCGCGGTGGAGAGAGGGCAGCCAACCTGCTTGGGTGAAGAGAGGGTTTACAGGAGCCGAGCAGGGAGGCAAGGGCACCCGTTCTTGGAGGTTTCGTGGAAACTGAAATAGGAGGGAGGTGTTGCAGTGACCGGAACCGAGCGACCTTAATGTTGTCGAAGGAGAAACGTGAAACCCTAAGAGGTTAGACTTACTACTGACCCGACTGATGCGGGCCCGATCAGGTGGAGTCTGGCGCTGGAACCTTCCGTAGACTTTGGAGAGTTGAAAACGATAGCAGAAGATTTTGCAGTATTAGAAGTAGTGCCACTTTTTTGGTTGCCAGTACTTGTTGCTGGTAGCTTAACTTTAAAAAAATTTTTTTGTAAGAATTGAAATATATGCTAGGAACTCGAATTCAGGGCTTGGATTCATGGAACTTCACTTGAGAAGATGATGTGTCTTCCATACAGCTTATAAATTTATAGCATGGAGACTTGCAAATGGAACCGGGTGAAATGTGGATTATCACTCAAAGTTAGGTTAGCCGAGAGCCCAGCTGTAAAATAGCAGTTGGAAACAATGGGAATCTGAAATTTTGCCACAGGCTAAAGTGTGACGGGATTGTGCCACGCTGGTTTAAAACGTTCTGATGCTAAAGTTATTCACCTTTGCTGCTAATACGGGTCACATCAGAAAACACGAAGTAAATACTTGATTTATATGTAAATGGACTTGTATATATATGGACTTATTTATATATATAAATTGATTTGAATTATTAAATGGAAAGAATTTAACTTTTAGAGGAAAAAAACTGCAGACAGAAAGTCTAGGTATTGGTCTTTTCCACTGTGGTGTCTCCTCACCACGCTCACCTGACTTTCTCTAGATGTGACTTTAGTATTTTTCCTGTGGAAAAATGAAAGTACAGTTTATATAAATACTATACTGAGATGTTTAGCAACTCAAGAGATAGTAGGAAGCACATTCTGGAAGGGTATTTCAAAGGTGACATTTAAATAGACAGCAACTTTCTATTTCTGAGCAAAGACTGACTTTGGGCAGCCAGTTTACAGTGGTCTCAAGTCACTCCTGAAAAAAAAAAAGTTTTCGCGTCAGCTCTTTAAAAATGTAACTACCTCCTGTACAGTTGTGTAATACTACTGTGAAGTTGCCAAGGAACTTTCTCATCGGTTATCTCATTTGATGTTTCACAAGAGCCTTGTGAGATAGGGCAAGTAGCAGTATAGATAATTGCATTATCGTTTTTCCAGTGGAAGTAAGAATTACGTGTAAGCCTAATAGCGGCAGTACACGATAGAGATATTTGCCTGATTTATTTGGAAAGCAGCCTGACCAGAGACAAGAGAAAGGGAGAATTTCCACTGGCCAATTAGTTCCCCAAATGGCCGCAACAGCCAGAGTTGGAGTAGGTCAAAGCCTGGAGCTATGGGAGTGCTTGAGTGTGTGTTGGCAGGAAGCTGGAATCGGAAACAGAGCAAGGACTTGAGGATGGGACTTCTGATATGGGATGCTGGCATCCTAGGCATTGATATCACTGCTGCTCCCAATACTCACCCTTGGCAGTTTCTTTGCAAATAAAATGTGTCCATGTGAGAAAATGAAGAAGAGTCTGCTTAACATCACATAGCTAGCAGTTTGCTGAGCAAGGTTTTTTTTTTTTTTTTTTTAAAGCAGCTTTATTGCATTACCATTTATACGAAAGTACATTCGAAGTGTTCTGTTTTGTTTTTTGTTGGATGGATGCAGTTGAGTGTGCACCGTGCCATTGAAGCTTTGGAATGTGTCCATCCCCTAAAAGTTGCCTCTGCAGTTGGTCTCTCGTCTTGTCACCCTGGGCAGTTACTGATCTGCTTTCTGTCATCATAGTTTTGGCTTTGCTAGAATTTTGTATAAATAAAGTCATACTGCATAGAATCTTGCATGTGGCTTTTTTTTTTTTCACAGAATGATGACTTGGGTCTGTCCATGTTGTTGAATTTACCAGTAGTTCCATTCTTTCTTTCTTTCATTGCTGCATGGTATATGTTGGATATACCCCCATTCTTGAACTGAAGGAAATTTGGGTTGTTTCCAGATTCTGTGTTGTGTGAGCAGTTCTGCAGTGAATGTTTGTATCCTGGTCTTAATGCAGACTAGTATTTTCATTTCTCTTGATGAGAAATATTTGTGGGTCATATGCTAATTGTACTATTTTGTATCCCCAATAACCGTGGATCAGGGTTACAGTTCTTTTTTTTTTCTTTGATTTATTTATTTTTATTACAAAGTCAGATATACAGAGAGGAGGAGAGACAGAGAGGAAGATCTTCCGTCTGATGATTCACTCCCCAAGTGAGCACAATGGCTGGTGCTGTGCCGATCCAAAGCCAGGAGCCAGGAAATTTCTCCAGGACTCCCACACGGGTGTAGGGTCCCAAGGTTGTGGGCCATCCTCCACTGCTTTCCCAGGCCACAAGCAGGGAGCTAGATGGGAAGTGGAGCTGCCGGGATAGAACCGGCGCCCATATGGGATCCCGGGGCACGTTCAAGGTGAGGACTTTAGCCGCGAGGCCACAGCACTGGGCCCAGGGTTACAGTTCTACAATCCTTGGTTTACCTGGTATTGTCTTTTTTTTTTTTAATCTTTATTTGAAAGGCACATTTGCAGAGAGAAGGAGAGACAGAGAAAGAAGTTCGATCCACTGATTCACTCCTGAAGCCAGGAGCTTTTTATAGGTCTCCCACATGGGTGCAGGGTCCCAAGGGTCATCCTCAGCTGCTTTCCCAGGCCACAAGCAGGGAGCTGGATGGGAAGTGGAGCAGCTGGGATACAAACTGATTCCAATAAGGGATGCTTGTGCTTGAAAGTAGATTAGCTAGTTGGGCCATTGTGTTGACCCTGGTTTGTCTTTTTCCTTATTGATTTAAATAAATTTTTGGTAGTGTCAAAAGCATAAAATTTGCTGTTTCAACATTTTTTAAATTCTTTTAGTATAACTTTCTAAAAGATGTAGTAGTAGCTCATGGTTTTAATTTGCATTTTCTACGGTGATCTGCATCTTTTTATGTAACTGAAGTTTTAAGCAGTTTTTAAAAACATTTTTATGTATTTGAGACAGTGTGCACACAAAAGGAGGGCTCACGCGCTTTGATTCACTAGTTCACTTTCTGCCTGTTATTCTTTATCGCAAGGACCCTTTCCTTATAGATGTTTATAACAATGATTTGTTTATTTATCTATTTGAAAGTCAGATTTACAGAGAGAAGGATAAAGAAAGATACTCCATTCACTGGTTCACTCCCCAAATGGGTATAACCACCGGAGTCGCCGGAGCCAGGACCCAGGATTTCGGGCTCTCCCATGTGAGTGCAGGGTTCCAAGGCTTTAGGCCATCCTCTGATGTTCTCCCAGCCCTTAAGCAGGGACCTGAATCGGAAGTGGAGCAGCCTGGACGCTGTGCCATATGGGATGCTGGCGCTTGCAGGTGGAGGAATAGCTGTTGAGCAATGATGCCAGCCCTTTACCTTTAGATTTCTGTGTGCTCGTCTTAGCAAAATAGAGCCAGAAGTGAATCTGAAGGATATTGTTTCAGTCATTTATAGAATAGAAATGGTTTTGTGTTTTCATCGTTTAAAAATGTGTGATGGAAGGTGCTTCCTTGCAGAAGAAACTGCTTTTTTGTTTTCTGTCAGTCTACTTTCTGGTGGGAGTAAGATTTTTTAAAAAAGATTCATTACATGTAAAACTGATTGGTTTAAGGAGTTTGAACTCTGTAAGACACATTTCATGCTCCAATTAGAATTGTGGAGGGTTTTTTTTTGTATTTTTAGTGCGTAAACATTTGTTGTTATTTTCTATAGCAACAATTTTCAGCCTTTTAATTGGACTTTTTGTCATCATTCTTACCTTTCTCCAGTCCCCTTTCAACATTTTATACTTTAAAAAAAAGTCCAGTGCAGTAGCTTAGTGGCTTAAAGTCCTTGCCTTGCACACTCTGGGATCCCATATGGGTGCCAGTTCTAATCCAAGTGGCCCCACTTTCCATCCAGCTCCCTGCCTGTGGCCTGGGAAAGCAGTCGAGGCTTTCCCAGCCCAAAGCAGCCCAAAGCCTTGGGACCCTGCACCTGCGTGGGAGACCTGGAAGAGGCTCCTGATTCTTGGCTTCAAATCAGCTTAGCTCCAACCATTGTGGCCATTTGGGGAGTGAATCAATGGATGGATGATCTTTCTCTCTGTCTCTCCTCTTCTCTGTATATCTGACTTTCTAAAAAAAAAAAAAAGTCTTTAAAAGAAGGTTGAAGTCCAAACCCCTCAGTTGGCATGTTTGCAGTTTATATAATGAATTGTAGATGGTGCGATGACATTGGTACCGATTTCTGCCACACTGTCTCTGTCTGTACAATCTGAGAAGTGTAATCACTAGTCGTTAAGGGGTGTATATCTGTGCATTGGAGTCTTGGCCCCTTAGTTCTGAAAGGAAAATGTTTTGTTTTTAAATCTGAGATGTTTCCTAGGTCCCCAGATTGTACTGTGTTTTAAAAGTGGTGCTTCTTGGTTTCTCTTACATCACTTTATATA